CAGCATGAGTGGGCTTGGACAGCCCCAGGTCCCACATCCCCAAGTCCAGTCCCTACTACAGCTCAGGATGGAGAGCTCCAGGGCTGGTGTCTGAAGCTCTTCAGCTTAGTGTTGAGTTTCAGTAACAGCCTCCCCATCCTCACAAAGCCCACTCAGTCCAGGGTCATGCCACAGCTGTCTACAATTGGCCACCATCCCTCCTACTCTCAGGACTCAGCTCTCCTTAGAGAATCAGAAATCTGCTTCAGGCAGTCTAAGAGTGACAGGTGACAATGGTCACAAAGTGCTAGGAAACAGACACATGTCAAGTTAGATTGTAACAAAGGAAATGTATTCAAGCCTGAAGATGTCACTCTGGGGCCAGGCCTCTATGTGACATATAACTCCTTCTAGAAATGTCCTCTGCTTCCTCCGCTGGGCATTTCTCCTACACACCCTTTTTGACAGCCCTCCCAACCCCTCTCAGGTACCTCTGTATTCCTGCTTCCAGTCTGCACAACACAGGAGGGCAAGTGGGTCAAATTCTCCCTTTTGCTCGGAGCCTGGCTTCCGAATGCATGGCATGCAAGGTGCTCTGGGAGCTGAGAGTGAATGAATGCTAACTACGCTTGTTCTCAGCTGGATTCCAGCTGCAGGTTCCCAACAAGCCTCATGAAGCAGTCCCCATTGCGCCGAAGCAAGCCTGAGAGCACAGATGGGATGCTGGAAGGAATCTGCCTTTAATTTGTGCTGATGTCTAAGAAAGTGACATTTTATCATGAGCCCCTCATGCATCCAGGAGCTTCAGGACCTGGCACAGGAGTCAAACTTTCCCAGTGTAGGGCTCTCAGCCAGGGCAGCTATATGTCCCTCCTCCAGCCTTCCCTCTGCCTGTTCCTAAGAATCTGCCAGGCAGGGATAGGTAGATTATGGTGCTGGCTTTTTAAAAGACCAAGATTGCTCTTGTTTTCCAGGGAAGTGTGAACAACAAAAAATATTTTTTTCTCTCTCCTAGGGTTCATAGAACTTAATTCAGTGTTAAATGGGTGTGTGTCATTTGAGAGGGGCAAAAACTATTTCTCTATTCTCCAAGGTGTGTGTATGCCTTCTGGGGTCAGCTGTGCAGACATCTGGCTAGGGGTGCTCAGCACCCCCACAAGGGGGCAAGAGCGGGATGCTGGGCACATGGGGACCTGTATGGCCTATTCATTGACGCTTACTTGAAAATACAGATGGATGAGTGTTCACATGTCCAGGGAAGGGATTCCAGAGTTGGTCTGGATGAGGGATACAGGGTTAGAGAAAGTCTATCTTTTAAGGCATCTGCACACCTATCCCCAAGCTCTGAGTGACCATCACTGGCTAGATAACCTCAGCTCTCAAGAATTTCCTGGAGATATGTCCTGTCCACTCAGACTCCCAGTGTTCATATCTATCTATCCACCTCCAAAATAGGCTATGGAGAGTGGGGTTCACAGGCTAGAGTTGTTAGTGCCCCCAGCACTTTCCAAGACAAGGTGCCCCCAGCATGCCAGAGACAGGCTAAGTCAAGATACCCTTAGAAGGACACTGATTATCCTCAAAGGGAGGGAGTGGATTGAGCTGTGTGTCTATGGGGGCAACATCAGCAGAACCAGGGCAGCTGGGACAGCCAGGGCCCAGTTAGAGAGGGTCTGTTCAGATAGCCAGTGCTCAGATTGTATCTAGATGAGGTCCAAGGGGTAAGTGTGAGCAGGTCTAAGGTCCCTGCCACCTTCCCAGGGTGTGTGTGTGTGGGTGTCATCTAAAAGCAGCCACAGTAAGGGGCCCTGGAACGTGATGAGCTTGCTGGAAGGAGGGAAGGGCAGGAACGAACAAGGAGAAGGAAAAAACAGGACCTCATCCGAACAAGGAGAAGGAAAAAACAGGACCTCATCCGCCAGACCTGCAGAGCAGCAGCTCCTATAGGGCAGGGGACATACAATGCACCAAGGAGGTGTGACCGACCTCAGGCAGGACAATCTCCTCACTTACACCTGCTGTTGAGCTTCTAGAAACCATTGTATAGGACAGTGGCTGGGAAATAAGGGCTCATAATGCTTAGGGATTTGCCATAACAATGAAGGATGAATTAACAGAGGTAGAGCACCTCCAAGAAGGAAGCAGCCATATTCTGAGGCCATGACAAGGAAAACAAACAGGGCAATACTGGCAAGCAACCCATCAGTGGTCACTACAACCTCTTCAGAGCCAACTCTTTCCTCTCACAAGGGTGAAAGACTGGGTTCCAGGCAAAGTGGCCTGTCCTCGGTAGTAGGGTGCTAGCAGGGTTCTGATTATTGGTCTTTCCCCACCAGGTCCCCCATTTGTACAGAAGAGCCAGCAAACGTACCCTCAGGGACTCGTGTTAGAGTCCATAAGATACTCAGTACAAAGCTGGGCTTTGCTCCGAACAATGGCCCTTCCTGGCACTGTCTGCCTCGTGGAATCCCATCACTGTAGGCGCAGTGTCAGCGAAGTCCCTGCCTGCAGTCACAGGCAGCTGACACAGCCAAGCCTGGAGTCCACCTGCCATGTTCCCCCAGGAGCCAGGCCCTGGGCAGCAGGAGAAGGGCCAGCAAAGGGCTGCATTTGCGCTAGAGGAGCACCTTCCTTACTTGGCCCACCTCTCCCCAGTGCTCCCCTCTGGGAACCTTGAGACCTAGGACACTTTGTTCCTCACTGATGCCCCTATTCCCAATCTCCACTCCCAGGCTGAAGATAAGGGTGTCGGTTCTTAGGACCCTACTGTGTCACCTCCGCTGCCCTCCCTAGCTAGCACTATAGCCTCCTAGCCCTGCCTGGTCAAGGAGGTGCTGTCCCCTCCACAACGTCCACAAGTTTGCTTGTAGAGAGTTCGTCTTCCTCTGTCCTAACTAATCCACGGCTCTCTCAACCCTACCCTCTCCTGTATGCCCACCTCTTGCACCCACAGTCAAATGGCTCATCAAGGCCTCTCCTCAGCTGCTTCTTTGAGAGCCATCAAGGTCAAGGCCCTGAAGAAGGGGAATGAGGGAACAGATGGATGGCAGGTGATCAGGGAGTGGCCCTCAGCTGCCTTCCTTTTGGACAGGTCCCAACTGCTGTCTTTTCTCTCGCCTCCCTAAAGGGCTGAGCAAGCAGAATTGCCCTCAACCCCAACTGTGCCCCTTCTTCCAGCCCAGCTGCCCCAGCAAGTCCCAGGCTGGATGACCCAGGACAGCAGGGTGGCTGCTTTCAGAAGCATCTCTCCCCCACTCCCAGTCTATCTGCAGCTGCCCCAGTCAGTGCAGGAACTCAGAGTGCCTGTGAGGTTAACACTCCCATCCCCCACTGCACTTCCACAGACCATGGCTGGCCAGCAGCAGTGGCTCCCACCTGTAATCCCGGCCCTTTGGAGGCTGAAGGAGGAGGATTGAAATTAATTGAAAGCCACCCTGAGCTACTGACAGAGTTCCAGGCCAGCCAGGGCTACAGCATGAAAACATGTTTCAACAAAACAAAAAACAAAGCTAAAACAAAATTTAAAAAGAAATCTTAATTGGATGCTTTTGGCTTAGCTTGAGCCGGGTGGGAGGTTCAGGGGTTGCTGGGCAGCAGAACTTTCTAGCTATTCTCTCTTCGAGATTCTCCCTCCACTAGGACAGATCCAGCAAGCAGCTCTGTGTAGAGGAAAGAAAGATTGCCCTAGAGAGGTCTTAGCATTGGGGAGAAACCTCAGTTCTGGGAAGCCCTGACCAGCGTGGGTTGATACCAGGGACCAAAATCAGGCTTTAGAATCCTTCCAAAGGATATTTCCAATCAGCCCCCACAGTGACAGGACTTAGACAGTCTCAAATGTTCCCGAGGACATTTAGACAGTTGGAATCAAGCAAGAGAACAAAGAGGGTTAGAGTGGGGGAAGTTCTGAGTTGCCTGGCTCTGGGTGGATCCCCACTAGCAGGACCGTCAGTATTTCGAGTCATAGAGTGTCAGTGACCAAGGCATCTTAGACAGCATCCTGGGAAACAGGTCCAAAGACCTGCCTGGGATCACATAGCATCGCTGCTCACTGGAACTTCCCCAGGCTGGCTTTCTCGGTATGACCTGGGTTACAGCAGTCTCTGCTGATGGGAACCACTCCCCTTCTATCTTACAGATGGTGAGGAGAGATGGTCTCAGAGGAGTTGAGAGCCCTGCTCAAGGTCACAAAGCCTCAAGAGTGGCCCCTGTAGTTTCCCACACAAGGCACTTTTCTCTACCTATGCCAGGTAGGGGTTCCCCGGGCAGGAGCACCCACTAAACGCAGGGCACCAGAAAACACAGAAAAGTCTTGGTGGGGGGAGCATAAGAATTCTTACATATAAATACTCTCGGGACACATTATATAACTATGGCTCCCCCATCCCTCCATGGCCCCAAGGGTCTGACTGAGGCAGTAAGCACCCACTTTGGCACCCACCCGGGTACCCTAGCCTGGGGGACCCCGTCTAGAAGCAGACTCTGACTTGGCCCATCAGGCAGTCGGCGCTGCTCCTTCCAAGGGGAACAGTTAAAGGCGCCAGGATGCGCTGACCCCCCTTCCTTTCTTTTTCCCTCTGGCTGGATAAGAAATACTAATACTAATAATGATAATAATAATTAGAATAAATAGAACCCGAAGACGCTGGGGTCTCGTTGCTATGACAACGGCCGGTGCTAATGAGCTTTTCAGAGGCTGTCGCCTGCCCGGCCACCCAGCCCCAGGCGCAGGATTACTATTGATCTGGCCTTGGGAGGCGGCAGCTCAGCCTAGGGGTTCCCGGTGTCGCCAAACGGGGACCCCGCTTAACCAAGCGGCTCCATAGCCCTGCCCCACGCGCACTGGGTCCCCAGCCGTCCGCGCTCCGAAGCGACTCCCAGCCCGGCCCCGTTGCGCTCTGGGACGCTTGCCCGAATCGGGCGACCACTACCTCGCCCCTCCCTGGCGCCCCTGGTGCCCCTGACGCCGTACTGCCCGCGCCCCGCAGCCGCGCGTGGACCCGGCAGCTCCGCGCCCAGCTCACCTCGTGCCTGCGCCGGTCGCTCCTCGCTATGCAGCCGGGAGCTGGCGCCCTCGGGAGCCAACTGCAGGGGCGCGGGGCTGCCCACGCGCGCCGCCGCAACAGTTGTCCGCCAGGTTGCGGGCGCGTGGGGCTCCGGGACTCCGGCCGCGCTCCGCCCGCTGCGCCCCACGCGCGTCCCGCGCCGCGTTCAGCCTGGCCGCCGCGCCCTCTGCTGCCCTGTGCTGGCTCGGCCTGTGCTCCGCTCGCTGCCTCTCTCTCTCTGCCTGTCTGCCCCTCTGCCTCTCTCTCTCTCTCTCTCTCTCTCTCTCTCTCTCTCTCTCTCTCTCTCTCTCTCTCTCTCTCTCTCTCCTCTCTCTCTCTCCCTCCCATTCTCTCTCCCTCTCTCCCCACCCCCTGTCACTTCCCTTCTCCACCTTGTTCTCGTTCAGCCTTTGTTTTTTCACCATCTCTCTCTTGTTCTGGCTCTTTCTCTTCACCCCTTCCCCCTTTTCTTTCCTTTCTCATCCTTTTGCTTTCTTCCTAGCTTTCTACTTTTTCCTCTCCCACTTCATCTCCCCCTCCTCCTCTCCTGTTCCAATTCCTTCTTTCTTCTTCCTTACCCCCCCCCCCCACCACCAGGGGGTTCTCCTCAATTCCCCTCATCTCCTCCTTCCACCTGCTCCCCAGCCCTGCTCTGAGCAAGACTCGGAGAAAGACCAGCAATTGCGTGCCCGGAGGGATCCAGCCTCCTCTCTTTCCAGGACAGACCCCCGCCCTGTGCAGCCAATGGCTTTCTGCCCCACCCGCTCTGTGCACATCTCTGGCCTCTAGCTGAGAGAATCTTGCCAGCCACCCCTGAGCCAGGCAGTCAGGGGCAGAATTGGTTTGAGTTTCCTTGGGAGAAAGCCCTGATTCCCTAGCCTCCTAGATCTGGCTCTAAGCCCTCACCCCACATCTCTCCCCAAGAACCCCTAGTTTGACTTCACCCCATTTCATCTCCTACTTGAAGGTCAAGGACATGCTGGACTCCAGCCTCAAGCCTGTGGGCCTATATTTTCCCACTGCCTGGACAACCTCAGAAATCTTGGTTGATAGCTCATGGGGACCTTGAACTCCTCTCAGGGGACAGCCAGGACAGGGCATCTTTACTGTTTACTGAAGGAGGAGAATTCCCTGAGCAGCTGGAAAGGCAGACCCCATGAGATCCACCCCTCCAGGTCCAAACTGCTGCCACCACATTTCCAGGTCACTTGATTTTTTAAAAAAAATATTTATTTTTATGTGCATTGGTGTTTTGCCTGCAGTAAGTCTGTGTGAGAGTGTCAGATCTTGGAGTTACAGCCAGTTATTAGCAGCCATGTGGGTGCTAGGATTTGAACCTGGGTCCTTTGGGAAAGCAGTCAGTACCCTTAACCGCTGAACTATATTTCCAGTTCCAATCTTAGATTTTTGAGACCTCAGTGGAACCTCAAGGAAAACCAGAGTGAGCGATTCCTACCTTGAACTTACTCCTTGCCACAGCACTGAGTGGTTCCTTTCCACTCCACAGACAGACAGACAGACAGACAGACAGACAGACAGACAGGCTCAGAGAGATTTGGCTTGTACCTCAGAGCCACACATCTGACAAGGGGCAGAACAAAGACCCCAAGTGAAGCCAAGAGCCTCACACTCCTCTCCAGGTGCACACATAGACATGGAGGAGTTCTTCCAGAACAGACTCACCCCCCCCCCTTCACTATAGAACCAGACTGAACTTTGTGCAGGCCCAAGGAAAAGCCCCATGGCATGCTGGAACCTGCCTGGTGCTTCAGCTGCTTTTGAGGCCAAGGGGGCTCCAAGAAGTGCCAGATGGGAGGGACCAGTACCATCTCTCACCCAAGCCTGTGTGCATAAAGCCCTTGGCCTCCATCATCACAGCATCTGTGCCCTTTGTTCCATTCATGGATAGAGCCTGGACTGACTCACTTGATCTATCTGAGACCAGGGCTGCCCATGAGAACGGCTTCAGCCAATGAACAGAGCACCAAAGCTAGGTGAGGCCAGGCTCTGGAGAGGGCCTGGGAGGTGAAGGCTGCTTGAGGGAGGGGCTCCACAGCACTCAGGGTTCTGGACACAAACCAAAGCAACTGTGTGTTCTTTCTTGACCACACGGCATTTGGCTGACCCAAACCCCTCCTTCCAAAGAGAAAGTTGAGGAAGATCCTACTTCAGCTGAGGTCAAAGATGACAGGAGGCCCCTCTGACTGCTCTGACCATTCCATATCAGCATGGGACCAGAGGGACTGAGGAACTGCAGGTCCTCTTAGGAGCAGAGCTAGGTAAGGTTTGGGCTCCCTTGCTCCATTGAGACCTGGGCCTCAAGCTCTCAGAAGTGGAGGCTGGGACCAGAGACACTCCCATGGTTAGCAAGGGAGTAGGGCATGCTGGGGAAGCAGGGTGTAACATGTGATATATTGTGTGGGATGCCTGTGGGTGATATCTGATGCATGTGTGTTAGGTGTAAGTATTGTACAGTATATGTTGTTGTGTTATGACTATGTTATGTTTGTGTGTCATCTGTATATATATTTGCATGTGTATTATATGGTATGGTGTGGGGCATTTGTATATATGGTATGGTGGGGTGTTTAGGTGTTGCAGAATGTGTGTATGGTGTATGTGGTGTGTACAGGAAGTTGGATGTGGCATGTTTATGTGTGCATGTGTGGTGTGTGTTGGATCAGGTGACTATGCCATGGTATAGATGGTATCTGGGGGATGCGTCAATAGATATTTGGACACAAGGGGTGGGTGGGATGAATGGGCATCTCATTTTGCCAGGCACTCCCATGTGGCCCCAGGCATGGTATGCCTGTGTGTATCCTATATGTGGGGAGGCTGTCTTGGGTGAGAGGAATCTGTGTATGGTGCATTCTGGGTAGAGGTGTCTTCTTCCTCCCTCCAACACTGATATAGGGCAGGCTCATGTTGCAATGGGTATAGGCACCTGAAGACATGTGGAGCTCACTGCAATGAACCTCGCAGGTTGCTAGTGACAGCTGAAGTCCAGCCTCTGGCCAGCCCAATCCCACAGGACACAGCCCAGGCCCCTGTCTTCACCCCTTGACTACTTCCTCTGCAGCCAGCCTGTGCCAGCCACACTGAGGCCAGCATGGGCACATGAGGCCCCTCACACCTCCCCACACTTCTTCCACAGGTACAGGATCTGAATCTGCAGTGCCCCCCATTACATAGGTGTCCCTGTCTTAAACAAAATCCCTTAGCCCCCCCCCCCAGTCTCTGGTTCCTCATCTGTGAATGACTTTCCAGAACCAATGGGAAGATTTAATGACAGACCACACCACATCAGCCCTGTTAGCCCAATAAGCTGGCCCTGACATGGTTGGTCCTTGGTTCTGCCACTGCCTCTAGTCCTTTAGAGAGAAGGAGGCTTCATTCTTTGCCTGGCCCCACTCCATTTTGCTGCCCCTTGCCTCTGCATCCCAGTGCCCTATGGTTGCTATAACAATGACCACGCAGGAGGCAGCTTAACATGTCACATGTCTATTCTATTCCCTACAGTTCTGAAGCCTAAGTCAACAGTTCTACTGGCCCTGGACCATGATGTGTCTGAGGGGCCATGTTTCCCTGGGTCTCCAGGAGAGGGCCCTTCCTACACCTTCAGTCCAGGTGACCCCAATAACGTTTCGCTTGTGGCTGTATTGCTTCAGTCTGTACCAGTCTGTACCCAACTATCCCTGTTAACCTCCTATCTGAGCATCTTTAACTCCACCCCATGAAACCTTCTTCCTTCCTTTTTTTTTTTTTTTTTTTTTTTTTTTTTTGGGTAGGGTCTCAAATAGCCCAGGCTGGTCTCATTTCCAAGGCTAGCATTATAGGCATGCACCACCATGCACAATTTACGTGTTGTTGGGGATGGAATCTAAATGTGTATGCTAGGCACAACCTCTACCAATTGAGCCACAACCCAGCCTCCGTTTCTCTTTTTATTTCATTTTATTGATTTATTTTGTGTGTGCATATGTGTATGTGCACACACACTCATGTGTCATGGTGCACATGTGGAGGTGGAGGACAACTGATGGGGCGGTCAGATCTCTCCTCCCACTACATGGGTCCCAGATTGAACTCAGGTCTGTCTGGCTTGGAAGGTAGGAAGGCTTCTACCCACTGCACCATCTTGCCAGCCCTCGAGGGACCTACCACAGACTCAGAAATGGGGCTGAGGTGCCAAGCGGGGGGAGGGGGGAAAGGTGGGTGTTCCCAGCCTCCTTCCCTTTTGCATCTGTGGATCAGGGAGCAGGAAGGACCCCAGAGGCAGGCAGCTCACTGGTCATCTATGGAACCATCAATACATCTGTGCTGAGTCCCCTCCTCCACCCAAACTGGGAGGTGGGTTTGGCTTTTTCAGAGCTGATCAAGCAGCTGCTCTCAGCCCATCTCAGCACCTGCACTGGGGAGCCCTGCTCTGAACCCCAGCACCACCCTCATCCCCCAGCCTTATTTACTATTTCTCAGCCTTCGGGAGGCTTGCTCCCCCGCAAAAGCAACTGCTCACCGGGCAGGCAGGCAGGCAGGCAGGCGACCGGCAGGCGGGCCGGCCTGGCGATGACTCATGCTCTCTCTCTGTGGAGTGCAGCCTTTTCAAAGGGCTGGCTGGGGAGGAAGCTAAATTTAAAGCCAGGCTTCCCGAGAAGATCACCTGCCACGTCAAAATCGCTGCCATTTAATTAGAAGTTGGGGGCATAAGGCTTTCCACCCTGCTTTCTCTGGAATCCTCCTGGGGAAGGCTGAGGGGGAGGCACAGCCCCAGGGGGCAAGAGCCAACTGACTTCCCAGCTGTGACAAGTCCCTTCCAGACTTCCTTTAGGGAGTAGCCCCCACCTTTCAGGGACCATCAGTCTCTTCCTTCCTCATCTTCAAGCTTTTGGGGTTCTAACCCTGGACCCCAATTCCCCAGTGTACAATACATGCAGAGCAGGGCTCAAGAAGTCTAGAGATTCCTGTCCTCCCAAGCAAGAATAAGGCCACACCAGGCTTCAGACACATGCTGGACCATGGCACTTTGCAATCCTTGCATTGGGGTGGGGGTGCCCCTTGCTTTGCTTCTCAACAAAGGATTAGAGACCTTTGCTGGAGTACATGGAGGAGCCCTGGAGGGCTTCCTGGTGGGAGATAGAGACCTTGAGGTGAAAGTCACCCAGGCAAAGCCTATTGGCCACTGCTGCCCTTCTGCCTTGGTCAGACCAGCTGACCACAGCTGTGCATTTCTCAGTGTCTTCTGAAGATACAGATCACAGCAC